CTAATACCTGAATGCCTGACCTTTCAAGCAACAGCAGGGTGAGAAAATTCATAAGAATTGATTATGTATTCGGTTCCACAAGCAATAAGTTAAAAAATAGTAGAAAAGCAAATAGCATTTACTTAGAGTCACAGTATATTTGGATAAACAGAAGGCATTTGTTTTGTACAGCGGCAGTGTTTACGAGATTATAAAAAAATCTTCTTTAAAAAGTAAAAGTTATATGGAATATATGTTTGGACTATCTAAAACTGGTAAAAATTCCAATTTAGAATGTTCATAACGGCAGAGACGGATTTTGGGCTGAAAATGCTTCGTCAGGTGCCTTTCAACGAATCTGTAGTTTTTTCTCCACTTTCTGTGATATTTGCCCTTTCCATGGTTCGCACCGGGGCCCATGGAAAAACCAAGAGTCAGATTAGTGATCTGCTAGCTAAAGGTACTTTTCATTGTCAAAATATCAAAAAATGTTTTGATGTCGGTTTCTAGGAAAGACTGATGACGATGCCATAACGGAGCATTATTCAAATCTCTCATCACAAATAATGAATGCAAAAAATGGAGCGCAAAGCAGGATTGCAAACGGGTTCTTCTTGAAGTATGTGAATATAAAATTAACTCGTTGAAGTTGGAAAAAACTTTTTTCAGCAAGGATTTCAAAATTGAAAAGGACTATGCGCAGGAAATCGAAGAGAAATTTTTAGCAAAAGTGGAAAGTTACGATTTCAAGAAAGCAGATGAAACAGCTAAGGTTTGGTTTTACTTTAGTCGCTTGATACCTTTACACAGGGTTAATTGACTGACTAGCAGAGAATAAGGGAATCCCATTGCTCCAGATGAAATTAATGTTTTTCAGATAATCGACGATTTTGTAAGCAACGTCACAGAGGGGAAGATTCATGACATTGTGAATGCAGATTCCGTCAGAGGTGAACTTATAGATTTAATGTTCTAAAAATGAATTTGCTTGGAGATACTGTAATTACTATGAGGCAAAAGAGGTGTACATGAGACAACTCTACAAGAGAAATCTCGCGAGGGAGAACGTGAGATATATAGGACAGCGAGAAAAATAGCAGAGTC